TATATGTATATGTATATATGTATATATATATATATGCGTGTGTATTTATTCACAGTCTCTATATTAGAAGGTAGTTTTTATTTCATGCTTCTGTCTGTTGTGATTGAATAGCCTATTTACGAGAAAAAAAGTTATTTGAGAAATTCTCAGTTTTGTTTGTTTACCTCTTTTATCGGATGTATGTGTTACTGTTTTATTTTGGCTATCATTCTATTTACATAAGCTTTGAAGTTGTGTCGCTGATATGTACGTTCTATATCAGCAGTAGATAGCAGTATCAGAAGTGGAGGATGGATGCAACGAAAACCGCCGAAATTGGTGTGGTTGAAGACGATAGCCCCAAAACTATCTCGAACGATGGTAGTGAGCGAACTCATATGTCAGACAACGTGTTGTCACAGAAAAATGGAGACAATGCGCCACAAACGTTCGATCAAAAAGCTAGCGTGGGTGCAAATGATGATATTACGATCGATACTGTTATGGACAATGTAATACAGTCGACGGAGCCTCCAGCGCGGACAAAATCTAGTGCTACCGGTTTCAAATGGTTTTGGCAAAGAGACACATCTGACAACAATAAACAAGTAGAAAAGGCCGACACACTCGAGTCGCCTATTACACGCAAGCCTTTGACAGAGCTACCCCCTTCCGAGAAAAAGGATACAGGGTCTAAAATTGCAGATTCAGAAAGTTGTACATCTGATAACGTACCACACATTGCAAGTGGGGATGCGATTGAGGAATCATCCGTTATTGAGCAAGAGGTTAAGAAGGGCGAAGGAGAGCCACTCGAAGATGCTGAACGCTTCAAGTTCAAGTGGTGGTGGCAGAGGGCAGCCAAACCAATCAGTAAACCTATGGAGAGCAGCAACAACACCTCAGAAAATAAAGAAGTGGCCGAAGAAGGTGCCAACGAAGTGGCCGATCTCAAAGGTGCAGCAACACCCACCGATGAGTTAACTAGCGAATCACAGCGCACAAGCGAGAATGTTCAGATATCTGAATCCGCACAATCTCCGGAGATGTCCTCTGTAGCCGGATCTGAAACGGAGAGCGCAGACACAGTGCCGGTAGGTGATGATGATGCAAATAGAGTAATCGGCGAGGAAGAGGCGGAGCAGATGTATGTGCACGAAGGCTATAACAATGCTGCAGAAATACCTGCGCACATGACTGACTACTGCGGCCGAGTGTTTGAAGGCACAATGAGGAGCACTCTCTCGAAGGAGCCCATTTACCTGAGGCGCTGGGAGCCCAGAGATGTAGAAATTAGGTATGTTTCTGCGCGAATTTTCAGACTTTTGCTTGGACGATCCTAGTGAAACACTTCTTATTCGTAGCCATGTAGGTGCTTGTAGTAATTATAACATAGTGTTAGCTTCCGAATGGCCCGGTAGAGTCGCGATATATGTATGTGACAGCAAATGGCCAAGTAAGCCAGCCTCATATATATTGATTCCACTATTCGCCCATCCTGCTGGCATGCGCATGTCCATAGTGACATGCGTTCTATATTTACTTTTTAAGTAACACCAGTATTCTGTGCTATCGTGCGCTACACAGCTCCTGTGCATGATACGTTTGGTTTGTAATTCGTCTGAGTAAGCTAAACTGCAATCGACCTCTCATTCCAATTGCAAGCGTGGGATTGATAACACACATCTCGGTGTCTCACACGTCGCATCGTCGTGAATCTATTCAATCCTGTTTTTCAGAATATAATTGCACACGCACCTAGGCACAGTATGTCGTACTTATGTGTTGCGATATGGTAGTGTGATCCGATACTATGCAAGCAAGATTATTTTGAATTTAATGTTAAGTTCATCCTGCTTAAGACACAGCTTGTACTCTGAAGGTATGTTCAGTCTCGTGATTTGATCCTGATGTGTTTGCGATGATTTTCAGCCAAGTTTTGGGCATGTGATGGATTTGGCTTAAGAGTGGATGTCTTGTCGCGTACTTTGCGTTTGATCGGTTCAGCTATGTGCTAACATTGTGCACTTCGTTTGTATTAGATTTGAGCCGAAAATCAACATCGCGTAGGCACACACGAAGCTCTGCAGAATTCACAATTTTTATCGAGCACCAACGTCATGTATATTGCCTTCATGAAAAAAATGTCGTCTTTGAGTGAAGATTGTACAATACTTTTTTCAAGTTTTCCGAAAGGATTGAATCACTTATTCAGATGGATATCATTACAGGTCGCTACTTTTCATCTGCCACGATCACTCATCTCACTGTGAACGCTATGAGCAAGTGATTGGAGGATTCTTGAAGCAGGGCACTTTGGTATTCTCTCAAGATCATGAAGGTACGTAACTGGGGTCATCACTGCGTAGTCACATTTTATTATACACACGTGTTTGTACTTCTCTCTCAGTGAACTAAGAACTATCGTTCATGTTGTATGCCTCGATATGCCGGGACAATTATCAAACGTCATCCAGAAACGCAGAACCTAAATATACAAAAACTGGACTACTTTTGGGCTGCGATGCAGGTCACGGACACAGTGCTGGGCAAAGAGCCGATATGTACCTGTACAAGACCTTTGTGGCCGACGTGCTCAAGCATGTGTACACGGTCAAAGAGCATCATGCGGGCTTGCCCTTGTTTGGTTGGGGGCACGGCATGGGCGCTTGTATATTAATCACAGCCGCAAGAAAGTACCCCAGTGTATTCAACGGTTTGATTCTGACGTCTCCGATGCTGAGGTTTGTTAGCCATACATGTGTAGGAAGTTCCGATTGATCCACTTCAGCACCCGATTAGCCTATGGTGCATACTGCTGAGCTAGCCTGGGCGACGCAGGAGTGTGGCAGAGGCGTTTTTTGTGATTGAAAAGACGGTCGCAATTTGATGATATCATTCCTTTTTCGCTGATTTTCTTCTATGGTCGACTTTTCATTGCCTACTGTACAGGGCTGATCCACTTGCAAATACGAGATTTAAAAAGGCCCTAGCATCTACACTCTCGTTCTTCTCACCAAGTCTGGGCGTGGGACAGCGTATGTGATATGCTGCAACTTAATATGCAGTTTTAAATCAACTTTAGCATCGTATTCTTTCAGTCGCAAAGACAATCACGTATGAGCGGAAACTAAATCGGCGCGCATATAGTATTTAATTCTAAATTTCTCGTCATTGTGTATCATTCGTTCGTTAGTATGTTGTTTATCCCCGGGCTACCACTGTTCTTTCAAGTTCGCCTCAGTTACTGCATTTTGGTTCGAAACCTAACCTATAACTCACATCCATATAACCATCATCTCTCCTCAGGCTTATTTGCGGAGGATATATCTGACGATCCACTAGAGCAGAAGAGATGGCTGGCTGACACACTCATATACCGAGGCCAAGTCAAGATTCGTTGGGCGAACTGCATGCTTGAGGTGTGTTTCCCATGAGTCCGGTTATGGATTCGTCAATCGAGAGTGTGAGTGTGGAGTTATACTCCTGTGGTGATAATAATGCGGACTGTGTATATGAAATTATTATTTAATGTGTGATCAACGTGCCGTACAGCAAAATATAGCGATGTTGTTTAGAACTTGTACACTTATTACGCCGCTGTACAAAAACTATGCATAAGGGTGACGGTT